TAATAGTTTATAAAATAAGACAAATGCGGTAAAAGCTTCAATCAATTACGGAAGACGGAGCAAACAAGGCAACTACAAAGAGCTGCGATACCGTATTAATGTCCATTACTGTGCCTTTAAAAATATGAAATTTGTTTGTTATGATTTTATTACGTATCGCATTTTACTTTCCTTTAGTATATTATTTTAGTAAATGTGTGTCAGTCTGTGCGTTGAAATTTTCAAACAGTTTAGCCGATATCAATAAAACTGATTGTGAGGTCAATTAATATAATATAAATTAACTAGCAACACCCTCGCTTCGCTCGGTTTCCTCTCTAGGTACGTTTTAACGGCTAGTATACCTAGATTTCTCAGAGATAAGATATTTTTTTCCGTAGTAAAATGTATCCAACCGCAGTATAAAACCAGCTTTCATCATACCAGTTTTCATCAAAATCCGTCAAGTGGTTTTCTCGTGATTGGTTCACAGACATACAGACAGACAAAATTCTAAAAACTATAGATTCGGCCTCTGTATTGATAATAATGTCTATTTCAATAAGATTTGCCAAAAAATATTTAATGTACAGATTCGACTTAGTTAGAATTTTATTATATGTAGGTACCTATAGAATTGTGATGTGTGTGACCTATAAAATTTTATATTTGCTTGGAAGTCCTAATAGATTATCATATCTGAATATTATGCAGTTCCAATAATATTACATACATACGTGTCAAATTGGTTACCTCCTTTTTTTTTGAAGTCGGTTAGTAAAAATAATTTATTTTATGCAATTTATTATATGATACACTTCATTTTCTTCCAATAGTTCTCTTCTTAAATAATATACGTTTGTTTAATATATTATGTTCTTTGATAACTAAATAGTTTAAATTAGTGAATGAAACAAGAAAATTTACTAAGCTATTCTTTCTTTGTATTTTGTAATTTTTTTTTTACTCTTTAGAGAAAAAAATATTTAAATAAATGACTTTATGAGAAATTAAATTATTAAATATTTTATATACATTCAGCAATAAAAAATTTTTTTTTTGGTCAACTGTCTTTTCATATATTTTCGCAGATTTATCTAAATTTTTGGTTCCCGACGTTTCGAATGCTTCATTTGCTTTCAATCATGGTCACGAGATTCTCCAACTATCTATTTGTCCGATATAATCGGATGAATAAAAAAAATATTATCTGACGAATAGCAACAGCCTTTTTATATACATACATATGTATACATATATCTAGTAGGTACCTACTGATATATTATTAGGGACTCAAGTTCGCTTCGCTCGGGTTCGTCCCTAGGTGATTCTTTAAATTTATATAGCTTTTTTATTTATGAACTGATTGAAATAAAACAAATACTTAATGTTAAGTGAAGCTTGCCACAATACATTACTTAAAACTGTAATCAAATCGGTTAAACCGTTTCTGACAAACAGACAAAAATACTACTAAAACTAAAAATATATATTTTTTTTTGGGTTTTATTCCGTTAATAAAGACACACACCCACACCTACAACCCCCCCCCCCCCCAATTTTTATCTGAAATATCTTCCATGTACAGACAGCGATAGTCACAATTTTATTATACGTATGGATTTATAATTACGACAAAAAGATATTTTCTTCACTGTTTATTATTTTTATTATAAAAGACACTATAGTTCTTCATTCTGAAAATTTTACAAATTAATACAATTTAGAAGATAAAATCAAAATGATTAGTTGTGTAAATCATACCTTGAAGTATCTAATCATCACAAACAATCCGTCACAAACTTTTCAATACATTTTCAACCTACAAATCCCCATTGCTTTTTCTTATACTAGTATTTCTTATACAAGTACCTATATATAAAAGCCCTTATAGTAGCAAGATTTAAAGAAAGTAGGGTAAATCTGATATATTCGCATAAAGATTTCGGATGAGTAGAGATGTCGGTACAGACATAGCCCGGTGTAATACCTAGCTAGATTGGAGAACTGTAAAAGTAAGGAAAGGGCTTTTTTAAGTTATACTTCTTTTGGCACGTTTGGAAAAAATGAGAGTAAAATTTTTACGATGCGCGCGCCCACTGACAGCCAAAAAGCATCATGATGATACGGATGAAATCTTTAGCTATTTTTGTTCTGTTACGCCTAAGAAGTATAACTTGTTACGTGCGTACATAAGTACATACACACGTTTTTATATTTACGGCTTTTGACTCCAAAAATGTTGTAAATAATTACTTTTAGTATGCAGTACATGGTGGTGTATAGCGTTAGTGATGGTAGTGGCTTAAATTTTTTAAATATATAGAATTCGTGGCTTTAGGAATGAGGGCGTCACTATATATTTGTTTTCTCTTTCTACAGAATGATAACGTATTAATATTAAAAGATAAATTTTTACCGTCTATAAAGACGTCTTAAAGGCGGTATATACTTGTTAAAGACAGTGCCTACCGACAATTTTACAAAATGATTTCAAAAATTCAAAGAAAGTGTTAAAAGATAAATCTAATTAAAGCCACTATTTGGGAGAAAGTTTCTTCTTAAACTATGTATATAGTACGTATAGAAAAAACATAACGTAATTTTTGTTTGAACCAAAGCTAGTTGGGCTACGCTAGCCTTGAAAAAATAAGGAATGTGTCACTCTCTAAATGACACAAAATCGTAATATCTCTAAATAAATGTATATAAAAAATCCATCTCCATACATAGCAGCTCCCTCGTCACATCATCCCGTCCATATTTCTCGCAAACAGCAAATATAATAAAAGCCTCTCAGACGGAGGTATTTCATATTATATTATGTGAATACTCTCATTTCGTCGCGTCAAGCCTGTTTTAAGAGATACCATGTTTCATATAAATCCCGCGACTTTTTCTACTAAGAACCTTTTTTTCTAAGAAATGATTGTTATTTTCCCTAAAAAGCTAAAATAGGAAATAAATTTTCAAATTTAAGTGTAGAATAATTTAATAAGTTTTCTCTGAACGTAATAAGTCTGCCAAAAGTTCGGAAAGACAAAGCCTGTAAATAAAGTAAAAAGCCTCTAAATAAAAACATTTAATATAATTTCATAAATATTCTAATGTTGTACGTACATACATACATCTTCTACGATTAGTCACAGATTCGATACTTTCTCGATGTTTATCTATCATACTAATGTGTTATCTATATACTCGTATTAATGATTAACATAATAGGTAGGTAAATGATTTTTCAGGTAGGTACTAAAATATAGAGTTATGATCACGATGAAACACGAAGAATAGAATGATTTCTTAGTGTTTTTTTCTGTTTTCTCCGTAAAAAAGGAAAATATTTGAGTACCTAACACGTGAAAAATATTTATTCTTTTATCTCAAACAATGTTATTAATTTTGTATGAAAATTAATGCTATAAAAAATTATATCTCAAGGCGGCACCTTTATCTAAAATGTGGACAATAGAATTAAAACACTTTTAAAACGCCGAAACGAATCAACATGATCGGATTTCGAACTTTATATCTAAGTACTCTTCATGGTAGCTACCACTCATTGACTCTAAGTATCTTTTGTAGGCAGCAAATGTTTCAAAATAATCTCTATTGTAAAGAAATATGGTTTATTTTAGATAAACTTTTTTATATATAGATTAAACGCTGTAATAGTTTGTTTGTACCGCCACCCGCGGTGTGTTTTAGAAGATACGTTTTTTCCCCCGCCCTTTTGCCTTTGTTGCGATTTTTTTCCATCTATTATTAAATAAACTAAATACCGAATATAATGAGTGTAAAAATTGGATAAACTATTGTTAGATATTTGTTACGTACGCTGTTGTGTTTATTTGCGCGTTATATAGGCGGCCTGAGAATTAAAAGGTATCGCGTCTCATGCCCTTTATTATTTATACCTACGTCTAAATAAAATATTTAACTTTTTTAGAATCTACTAGAAATATATTATATAAAATAAACTACATTAAAATGAGAAGTCATTACACAAAACAAAATGGCTTGTATTTTGTTTTGTGTAATGACTTTTTTTAAAGTAAATCTATATATATAAAAGAAAGTCGTGTTAGTTACTTCGCTTATAACTCAAGAACGGCTGAACCGATTTAGCTGAAAATTGGCAGGGAGGTAGTTTAGAGCCAGGAGAAGGACATAGGATACTTTTTATCCCGTTCGACCGCGTTCCAATTTTTATGATATTTTAATTTTTGGATTTCTCTTAGTCCGGAATAGGTAAGTATTAAAACATATAATTAAAATGTGAGAAAGAAAGATTTTTTCTTTTTATATCTATTTAAAACGTACCTAGCGACGAACCCGAGCGAAGCGAGGGTGAGCCGCTAGTTATAATATATTTTATTTATATATCTTAATAGTGCTTAGGCAATGGAAGCCCAGTGGTAATGCGCTTGCTTGGGAAACCGTGTGTAGCGGGTTCAAATCCCGGGTCACGCAGCTCTGATATTTTGCATGCGGCAATCATTTCTAACATGATTACCACTTGTCTTACGGTGAAGGAAAACATCGTGAGGAAACCTGCATATCTGAGAAAATCTAGCAAGTTTTCGAAAGATATGTGAAGTCCGCCTACCAGCACTTGGCCAGCGTGGTGAGTCAGACTATGGCCTGATTCCCCTCGTACTGAAGGGACGCCCGTGCCCAGCAGTGGGACGTTAAAAAGGGCTGAATGCATAATACATACATAACCTAATACTCAAATGATATTATGGAATATTTCAATTGGTCGAAATTAAATAATTTATAAATTACGAACAAAGTGCACCATCTAGTGAGGAATAGCGTAACATGCTGTTGTTAAGCGACATCTCTTAACAAGTAGTGACATTACGTATCTCAGCTATTTTTGTAGATAGTTTCTATTTATACTAATAGATGGCGCTGCATGACAATTTTTTCCAAAAAATTTGCAAGAAAAGTTTTTTAGAGTAAAAATAAAGGTGGGTATATATAAACAATATTTATACTATTTAAATAATATATTATAAATCTTCTCTATGGGGTTTATTTTTTTTATTTTTCACAGAAATTTTTAAGCTAGCAGGATGCCAATCCTCTTCTACGATTCTCTTTTTGATGATCCGTTTGTATACAATGGCTGACAGTCGCGCCGTTCTCTTTTTTTCTTCTGATTCGAAATCCACTTCGTACAACCCGAAACGTTCACTAAAAATTGAAATTATATTTTACGAGTATCTAAAAAAAAATATTTGAACAGAAAATAATAATTCTAATATTCTATTTATTCATTTGTTTCTTACATCCAAAATCTATATGTACCTGTTTTTATATTAAAAATATAATAAATAGTATATAAAATATTTTTTTTCATGTAGGTACCTAATTAATAAGTAACTACATCACAAACTAAAAATTGTGAAAAAAAAAACAAAAATAACTAAAATTATTTACTTCATCATAAAAGCTCACATCAAAAGAGATTATTATTTAAGCTGATTCTCTCTAATTTTATTTATGTAGATATTCGCTATATTATTTATAAGTTTTATTTTATACATTTAGTCCTCTTTGCGTTACTTAATCATTGTATTGGTTGTGATAAAACTTTGGTGAGTTATTTTGCGCTCGCGAAGGCTCCTGGCCAAAAATGAATCATTTTTTTTGTGTATGTTTGTCCTCTTTATGTATCATCCAGGAACCCCGTTTTTTTGGTTTACGCTGGGGAAACCCATCATGGGGACCGGTCGTCAATGGGTAGGGTATTGTGAGACTCCTACTCACTAAAACCCACAGCGGAACCCGTCGCCGCAGTGCAATGGGGCGTTGCAGGATCGCTGGCGCATTCACTACAACACCCCTGCGGTCGGCCCGGAACCCTAGGAATTCCATCCCCATCTCATCCCTAGGAACACAACCGAGGATAGATAAATCACTTATACTGCAAACGTACCTAGTTCCAGCTACCCATTCAACATTATCCATGAGACTCCACACAGTATACCCCTTTACATCCGCACCATCTTCCATAGCCAGCAATAAAGCCTTGAAGTATTGCCTCATATTGTCCACTCGTGAGGAGTCTGAGAGACCTTTAGCAGTAGACCAGCCATGTTCCGTTATAAACATTGGAGGGTAGTCATAGTTTTTATTTATGTACAGACTTAACTTGTAAATACCATAAGGAACACTCTGAAAATTATAAATATATATTTATTACAACTATTACAAAATTTATAAATCAAATAGTTAAGTTTTCAAGCTATCAAAAGCCGTTTTGCTAGTGTCTTTCTATATATCGTATCTGTAGTAGTATACCTAATTCCACAGATCACATAATGCTATACTATAAATTAGGGATGCGAAATCTCTAATGATTTTTAAAAAACGTGAAAAGAACACTTTTATACATTTTAATTCCTTCGGATTGCTGCATTATTATTTATTCTGAAATTTACTCTTAAATTATATGTACTGATATATGTATAGCTATTATCCTTATTTGTATTAAAATATTTCTTGCCTTTCATGTGTATATATATATATATATATATATATATATATATATATATATTTATATATAATATAGTTATTTTATTTATTTGGTTAAACTGATATTATTATTTTATTTTATTTATTTATTACTTATTATCATATTATTTATATTAGTTACGTATACCTAATTTATATATTTTATATACGTATATAAAATATCATATGTATGTATATATGTATTTATCATTTTTATTTTTCATATCTCTGTTATTTGTTCACACCCTTCCACTTCACACTTTGCTATATCCTACACCTAAAGGTTGCCTGGAAGAAATCGCTGTTTTAGCGATAAGGCCGCCTCTTGTGCATTTTGCTACTACTGTATTCTTCTTTTTTTTATATTTCTTCCTATGTTGTGTGTGCAATACAGAGTTTTTATTATTATTATTATTACTATACTAATACAGATGCCTCATCCCATACAAAGAAATTGGACAGCGTTAATTCGGGCTATTCTTCGGGCTATTTTTGTTAGCTTTAATAGATAATAGATGTCGTTGATTCTTAAATAGTTAAACTGTTTTATTTCATAAATATGTGCCAAGTAACGTATGCCAAATATTGTAAAATTCATCTTGCATTTCTAATACATTGCCTAAATTACTAACATATTATATTTGCGTAATGTTTTGCTTTATCAATTGACCCCCTGACATTTAATCTAATTAACTTTATAAGCGCTATCATACAAATCGCGTGATTTATAAATACTTATTTATTAGGAAGGAAAATAGCTAGAGTCAATGTCAAGTCATAAATATATGCACACGTAACACGCCTTTGCAAAAAAAATACAATGTACTTTGCTATGCCAACCAAAAGACACACTTTCGCAATTATCTGTATTAATATAATAAATGTAAAAGTTTGTGAGTATGTATGTTTGTTACTCTTTCACGCCAGAACGGCTGAACGGATCTAGATGAAAGTTAGCACCGAGAAATATTATAGTCTGGAATAACACAAAGGCTACCCTTTATCCATTTATTACCTTTTTATCCCGGAAAAATGTACGGTTCCCGTGAGATAGGTTTGTTATATACGGACTCCGTTTGTCATTGACATCAAACATTTGTTTTTGAAAAAGTCATTTACATACCTATTAGAAAAACATGAGAACGGTGCTTCAAGCCTCAAGTGAATGGGCATAAGCCAGATTACACCATAATTGATTTAGATAGAGATAAATATCAACCATACTAACAGAAAGACAAAGTTACTTTTGAATTCAATTCAGTTTAGTTCAATTGAATTCATTTCAATTTAGTCCTATTCAGTTCAATTATATTCAATCCAATTCAACCCAGTCCATTCCGGTCTAGTCCAGGTCAGTCCAGATTAGTCCAGTCCAGCCCAATTCAACTCAATTCAATTGACAATCTAGTTCAATTCAATTCCTTTCAGTTCAATTCTTTTTTCATTTATTCATTCGTTAAAATAGTTGAGCAAATTCAACTCCGGGAATGTCACGTAGAATAGCGAAGAATTTGTAATCAATAATATTAATTAGAAATTGTAAAAATTGGACCTACCCTCAACCAAGACGACTGCGACGTCTGCCACTCCTTACTAAAACTTAATTCTACACCTGCATAACTTTCGATAGATGGACTTGAACAGCTTTTATCCGACTTGGTGACTAATACTGTCGTGTAATGATTTACTCCAATAAAATCTGAAGAACCTGAAAAATAAATTATTATTATTATAAATGTACTAGTATACTATAATGAAATACAAAAACAAATCTATCCCACGGGAACCGTACATTTTTCCGGGATAAAAAGTAACCTATGTGATATTCCAAACTATAATCTATCTCTATGTGAAATTTCATCCAGATCTGCTCAGCCGTTCTGGCGTGATTAAGTAAGCAACATCCATCCAAACTTTCGCATTTATAATATTAATGGGATTAGTGAACCTTTATTAATTCCCTGAACTTATAATTATAATTTATAGCATTATCCATTTCAACCATAATCGTACTACAATAACATATGCCTAGTCTATAATAATCTATACAGATAAATAAAATTGAAGTGTCTGTTTGTAATGTCAAAATAACAGCGTTTTACTAAATACATATGAAATTATATACGGTACTTATAAGAAAAACACAATTTTAAAAATTGTTATCTGTCTGCCTGTATGTTTGTTCCGGATAATCTCTGAAACGGCTGCCCTGATTTTGACGGGAGTTTAACTGGAAGATAGCTGATGTTATAGGGAGTAACATAGGCTACTTTTATTTTACAAAAAGAATTAGGGTTAGGGCTCAAAAAAATTAAAACATACCTAGGGACGAACCCGAGCGAAACGCTAGTATATATAAATAATGTTTGTAATTTATCTGACATGAATGTTTTGGAGTCGACATTAAATAATATAATTTAACTGACTGCGATGAGACTTTTGTGAATTGTTATGTGCACATTTATGAAAGTATTTGTCATGAACGTATGATAGGTGGCGCGCGAGTCGTACCTAGTAATTTGAGTTTTATTAGTCTTTAACAAAAATGTTAGATTGTACATAATTAAGGTATATTTTCTAGAGTGCAGAGCCAGGGTTGCTTACACCATGCTGAGTAAAATTTGATTTGGTTACTTTCACTCATTTCTCGAAAACCAGTTAGGTTCTACCAGACTTGCAGAATTCCTCACAAAATTTTCCTTCATCGTGTTAGTACTACATATTAATCGTGTTGGAAACAATTCATTCATAAAAATCTAGACCGGAACTCGAACTAAATATAAATTTTTTGTATTAATCCTATTACCTAATGAACTCATATTTGATGTTTCTATACCTATAACATTTTTTTTCTGTTTTGTATTAAGTTGTTCACGATGTAAATAATATTCAACTACCTACTTGTAATTTTTTTTCATTAAGTGAATCTTTTGAGAAATAAATAAAACATCTTTAAACCGAACTCGTTTCACTTGGTTTCCTAAGCAAGTGTAAAGCTCGCTTAGAAAGCCAAACTTCGCTTTTGCCTATCACAGCTACATATTGGACTAATTAGATATATGCTGACCTTTCAAGAGTACAATTTCCTCACGAGTTAGTTCAGGCAGTTTAGATTTTTCATGGCCTTCTTCGAGACTCTTCTGTTTTATTCGCTTTTTGACATCTGCGGGAAAGTCCCCTCCTATAGACCATATGGGACTCAAGTATAGATCTAACTGGAAAAAATTCTATAGTTTAATTTTTATAAAGAGTGTGAACATGAGAAATAATAACACTCAGAAAAAACTAAAACATGCCATCATCTATACATATAATTTATACATGTCATAAAATTCTTAGTCGAATCTGTGCATTAAATATTTTTTGTTAAATTTTATTGAAATAGTCATTATTATCGATACAGAGGCCGAATCTATAGTTTTTAAAATTTTTGTCCATCTTGCTTGGGAACGCATCACCAAAAAACTGCTGGACAGATTTTGATGAAATTTGGTATCATGATAGCTGGTTATCCGGGTCAACATATAGGATACTTTGTACTGCGGAAAAATATCTCATCTCTGAGAAATCTATACTAACCGCTAAAACGTTCTTACGAATGGTACTTATAATAAAATTAAGGTAGGTATATATTCTGTGTTATGAAAAGTAATTTATCATTTTAGTCAATAGAAATGATATATCAGTAGATTAGATAACTATCTTTTAACGTGAGTAATTTGGTATACTACTGGCGGATTGAATTGACGATGGTGGTAGTAATATTTAAAAAAAAAACAATTTTAAACTATAAAATATGCAAAAGTTTGAGCTAGACAAAGATACAAGGTGAATTTATTATAAATTCTTTCCGCTAATACAAAAAACTATAATTACTCAAGTTATTTTAACTAATCATAGATTGAAAGATATGTACTTTATACACATTTATTCTTGTATATCAATTACCTATTTAATTATGGTGATTATATAGGTAATTGAGATTCGCCATTAGCCAAGTATTTAGAGAATCCTCTAAAAATTGTAGTCCATAAGTTATATTTATTAGTTTAGATTTAAAGTACACACGATTACATAAAATATATAAACAAAATTAAATATAACCTACTGTAAAATGGCGATATAGATCGGTTGCTTCTACATGTTCAGTCATATTGCTTATAGGATCTGCCCAATTGAGAGCCAGTGCTATGCCAACAGAGCCTAAAATTAAAAAGAATTAAAATAAATATATTATTTTCTTAATAATAAGCGATAATTTATACATATAATAAAACTGTAGAGGTCGAATGTGTGTACATAGAAAAAAATTGTTTATTTGTCTGTACACATTAACAGTACTACAGTACACAAAAACTACTGGTTGGATTTTAATGAAACTTTACAATAATATAGTTCATATATCAAAAAAAAACAAATAGGCTACTTTTTATCCCGGAAAAATGTACGGTTCCCGTGGGATAGATTTGTTTTTGTCAGTCCGGTGAGCTCGAGCGAAGCGAGGTTGAGCCGCTATAAATAAATAACATACAACATTATATACGTATATTTACATCCGGGTCATAATTTTAAAATCAAAAGTAACAAAAAATTACTAACTACATCTTCGTACTCTATCTTAAAAGACCATTCGAGGTAAAGATCATTTGAGAAGAAAGAATGATGGAGGAGGGTGGTAGGATTGGCCTATGGCTCTCTCACTCACCGAGCACCAGCAGGAGGATGCTACTTTACGTCGACATTCTGTGAGAGATTATTATTTCAATGATGGAACTGGTTAATATTTGCCAACACCAAAAAGGGTTTACACATCAATTATTTTATCTAAGGATTTTTTCTTGTATTTCCATATCCCACTCTGGTCGCCATTTACCAGGGGTCATTTTTCAGTAATAGATCTAACGAATATTTAACTAATAAAAGAGTTACTTTTTAACTAAAATGGTATACTGACCTTTTTACTTTTTCCCAATATTATTCAAAATTCTTAAATCTTTAATTATAGATATAGATTAAAAAAGTTCATAAAAATCAACCCAAATTAAGTAAATCCTCCTTTTGGAGTCGGCTAAAATTATAAATACCTTTATATTTTCTCCTATATTCCTTTTCGTACAAGCGATATGCTTTAGCATGAGCTATCATCACATTTTTAATGCACAAATAAATATCCTCTTTGGAATCTATTCCAGGAGCGAACTCCCCAGAGTACCCATCCACACATATAGAATTAGGCTGATTAATTGTGATCCAATATTTTACTTTATGGGCATATCTATTAAAGATGATTTTCGCGTAATTCTCAAACCATTCAGCGGATAATGGATTGGTCCACCCGCCAAGGTCTTGAAGATTTTGCGGCAAATCGAAATGGTACAACGTGATCATTGGCTGTATACCGTATTTGTTTAGCTCGTCTATTAAATTGTCATAGTATTCGAGACCTTTTTCGTTTGTTTTGTTTAACCCTGAAAATTTATCAAATAAATATAAGGTGCAAAATATTTATTATTTAGCTTTTAATTTAACCTAAATATTTCTAAAAAGCTCAGGAGAAAAAAATCATATTTGTCCTAAGTTTTTCCAAAAATATTTGCAACATACAATATTTCCTTATTCAATTTTGTTAATTTATATTTGTAAAACCTTACCTACCATCTGGTAAAACTCTACTCCAAGATATAGAAAATCTGTAATGATTCACACCGAGTTCTCTCAACATTTGTACGTCTCTTTTATAATTATGATAGGAGTCGCAAGCTTCATCGCCGTTTCTTCCATCAGGTAGAATTTCAGGATGATCGTGAAGATACCTGTCCCATATACTTTCTCCTTTACCTTAGAAAATTATTTGTTGAAAATATTATTTACGAACGAATTTCTTTGTGTAACATTAAAAAGTGAGAATGGGAAGACTGTTAAATATCTGTCGTTATATAAAACTTTAAAATTTTTATTATTATAAGGATTAATTATAACGCACACTAACAGAAAAATATATTTTCATCCGATATCCAAGTGAATTTGGTATTTTTCCGAAATATTATGATCAGGATATGATTATAAAAATTTGCTTAATAGGTATATGTGATTCATAAAGTTAATTTCTATAAACATATCCTAAAAAATAAAAATGATGAATTGATTGTAGAACAGTCGAATTTGGGCTAGTATATTTTTTTATTTTTTTACGTACATATCCAGTACATATAAGATAATTAATATTTTTTTACCATCTATATTCCAAGCGCCTTCTACTTGATAAGCTGATGTTGCTACACCGAAAAGAAAGTCATCTTTAAACCTTCGCACCCTCGTGTCTGACCATCCGTAAATGTTTGATATACTGAAAAAGATTTCAAAAGAAAGGTTCATTTGGTGATTTTTTAATTCATTTCTTCGTTGAAGGGTATATGTATATATTCAGCCCTTTTTAATGTCCCACTGCTGGATACGTGCCTCCCTTCAATACGAGGGGGATCAGGCCATTGTCCACCGCGCTGGCCAAGTGCGGGTTGGCAGAATTCACAAGTCTTTCGAAAACATGCTAGATTCTCTCAAGCATGCAGGTTTGCTCACGATGATTTCCGTCACCTTAAGACAAGTGGTAATCATGTTGAAAATGATTGAGTGCGAGACCCGGGATTCGAACCCGCCTCACTCGGGTTCCCAAGCGAGCGTGCTACCTGCTACTAGGCTACCATTGCTTTCAAGGATAGTCCCATTCTAATTTAAAATGAAAACTATCCTTATACAAGTGAAATAATTACTTTAAAAATTATTTTAAATTCTGTGTGTAATTTAAGTTTTCAATGAGATTATTCATATATGAGTACATATAGTTTTGCAACTTATATGTACATTAACTATATTTTATGACTAAATAAATCGTGCACAAAACACTGTACCTATCATTGGGATAAGGTAAGGGCGCTACCCTATATAACGTAACAAACAGATAAATATGAAATAATTTCTTAGATTTACGTGAATATTTGACATTTTAAATAAATGATATATTTAATTACAATACTTATTAATTATATATTGCTATATTTAATTATAATACTTATTAAATTAAAAAAAAATGTTTAGAAATAAAAATCAACACATATTGTAAGGTACTTTATTGCCATTATTGATTTTTTTGAAATCATTTTTGTAAAATTAGTGTGTTTGAGACGTCTTTAACCTCAGTCTCTCCCGTGACCATGATTGCTGTAAAGCATTCGAAACGTCGAGAACCACAAAACAAAATAAATTCGCGAAATAATCCGAACAGATAAATGCTCACATTTATAGTATAAAAATATATAAAAACATAATAAACTTACCTAATAAAAACTAAAAGTAAATATATAAAACACTTCATAATAAAGCGTGTGTGAAGGAAATCAGACTTGTGGAAAGATAACGTAATTAACTGATACTGATATACATATATATGATTATAGTATTAGTAGATAACATACATGTATCTTTTGACATTAGTGTTGCTTACTAAGAAATATTCTAATAAATGTAATTCTAATATAATTAACCGACTTTCAAAAGATATACGATCAATAGATATTATTTTTGTAATCTCTGCTAAGAAACTACTTATCCGATTTGAAAAATTCTTTTTGCATTAGATAACCCGTATATTGAGGAATATGTCATACAATATATAGTCTAATTATTCTATACTAACCGTTAAAACGTACCTAGGGACGAACCAAAGCCAAGCGTGGATAAGTCGCTAGTATAAAGTATAAACTATAAAAAATATATAGTTAAACCTGCTACTTTGATTGAGAAAATAAAAATAAGAAGCATCGAGAGGAATCCGCGCACCGAGTGTGCAACATATTTGCGCTCTGTAATTACATAAAATATGCAATATAATATGACGATGATGATTGTTCTTCTGGACGATTAGGCCACGGTGGCCAGCCTCATTGAGACTTGCCAGTAAGCTTAAAAATGGTATAGTTAATAAAAACTTAAAAAAAACTGACTTCCAAACACTAAAATGTAAAAGTAAACTAAACAGAGGTTTTCATTTAGAATAGATACCTAATCAGATATTTTCGAAGTCGATGCAAAGCAAATCTAACATATTTCGATACATAAAATTCATATTTACCTATTAGATATTCATATCTTCAAATATTTTAGGCTGGCACCGACTTCGAAAATATCCGATTAGGTATCTATGGGTAAATGCAGCTATCAACGACCCATCGAAAATCTGCAGGTTTCACCGACCCATTAACCTATTTCGCATTTATTTAGTCTATAAAACTGTTAAACTGTAGATTATGAAGAAATTATGCGTGTATCGTTGTACTGTGTTCAATTTGAAGTTATGTTTGTGTGCGTGATAGCTCTGGAAAGGGACAAAATTCATTAAATTTTCTAATAACAGCGAGTGCGCAGGTCATGTCATACTGGACCTTACTCCCTCTGGTAAGTTATATTTTTGTTTAAGAAATTTTCTGCTTATATATAGTATCTACAGTTATTCATTATAGCCAAACATATTAATTATGGTGTATATTATGCATTTAGTAGCACATTTTATAGGATTTTAATAATATTATTAGATAAAACTTAAAACTAAATTAGAGCGGAAATAACTTCGTGGATTTGATTCTTAGCAGCGAGTACCAACCTTTGGGTCGTTAATAGCCAATGCACATTGTTTATCTTTCGTATTTTTGTTTGATTAAACAGGCAGGATTCTTACCTGATGGAAAGTGATCACCGCCGCCTATGGACATCTGGTCTTTCCGGAAGATGAATCTATATTTTGAGATTATTTTTAAAGTACCTACTTAATTATTATCAATATTATCTAATGGATGGATTTCAATCAAAAAGTTCCTATTACCAATAAATAATATTATTTTTCATATAATTTGTTGTTATCTACTTTATTAACAACTAATACATGTTATTTAGTTTACATCTCTACTAAGTGAGTGAGTTTATATTATTGATCTCAGAAAAAAAATGCGACTGTAATTTTTTTTTAAACTTAATATAATTATCATATTTTTGTTATGTTAATTAATATGTTACATTTTATGATTGAAGGAATTTAGGCATATTATGTTAATTTAGTAAATAAAGGGTGAAAGTTTATACTTTTTTTATTTCCTTATAGTCGGTAATACCTTCATAAAAATCGTTAATTGCTTCATAGCCGTTGGAATGGGTCGGTAATGGAAGCATTTGACTTGCTCACATTAACAAAAAATTTTTCTAAGTACTCATTGCATATTATTATTTTTATGGTAAAAAATTAAAACTACATATTCAAAATTTATATATAAAAATAAACAAGCGTGTACGCATCCCCTGACCTTGAAAAATTACATCAATTTCAAAGTTGCCTTATTGGGGTCGGTAATACCTTCATTTACCTTAAATGAAAACCTCTGTTTAGTTATTTCTTACATTTTAGTGCCTGGAAGTCGGTTTTTACTTTTTTGTTTGTTTTTATTTACCATTTTTAGTGTAGACGTAATAAGCAGGTAATTTGAAAGAAGAAAATTTTTTAATAGCATATTCGATTAAGCAATTTATTTAAAAAATATATTTATTGTTGATTTTTAAAAAAACCGCTCGACCGATTTCGATAAAATTTATATGGGACCACCTGGGAAGTATAACCCTTTGAAACAAAAAAATAATATTTCCAAATCGGTTCAGGCGTCTTCGAGTAATCGGTAAACAAACATTAAAAAAAACTGACGAATTGAGAACCTCCTCCTCTTTGGAAGTCGGTTAAAAATAATGAGTTTTAAAAATGTTAGATAGACTAAGTAACTCTTATATTAAAGTAATTATAGTCAGTGAGTGTAGAAGAACAGTTACCTATACACTTCTAAAATCGTTTTTTATATTAGAAATGGGCTTACTCTTGACCTTCATCTTAGCTCGAAGGCACAGATAAGGTCTACGATCTAGCGAGTTTGCCCAGGAGAAGCCTGTTAACACGCACCTTAAATAGATTCAGGTAATACGCACTCGGAAAAATAAAAAATAAAAAATACAAATCGTAAACAAATACCAAAAAAAAAAGATTCTGATGAATTGAGAACCTTCTCCTTTTTGGAAGTCGGTTAAAAAGAACTCTCTGTTTTTTGATGTCGCCCTGACGTATTACATGGACGAACTATGCCGTTTAAGTAATACTATATCTTTATACATTTTAGCCTGTGTTACTCTGATCTATAAGTTATATTATGTAGAGTTTCATCAAAATCGGATCAGTAGTGACGATGTACATTCATAAACCGTCACAAATTTTTTTTAGTAATATTAGTAGGATAGATATTGTGATTCAAAAGTTAATGCGTAAATATTTTATTTTTCTTTTATCATAAAAACTAACACGATTTTTTTTATCGGTGGTTTGAAAACCTTGCAGCGAGATTCGAACTCGCACTTATCTATTATATATGTTTATTATATATGTTTTACTAAAAATGTTTCGTGTATGGGGTCATTACAGTACAACGATTACATCAGTCTTGATGTGCGCTGAATGATGCCAAATATTCGTACTCTTATATATAACAGATATGGAATTCAAAGACAATAATATTATTAGCTTTAAGTTCAAAAGCCGTGACTTAGCGCTCTTCATAAAATAATCCAGTGGTTATAAATAGAATGTACGTAAATATTATAAAACACGCGACTCACTCTCGCTTCGCTCGGGTTCGTCCCTAGGGTGTGTATACAAATTCCCTATTTGAATCAGATATTATTAAATTTTTTCATTGGTTTTAATTTTTTATCACCCTATTTTTTTTCTAAAATAAAAATAGCCCAAGTTACTCCTCATTACATCAGCTATCTGCCAGTGAAAGTCCCGTCAAAATCGGTCCAGCCATTTCAGAGATTAGCCGGAACAAATAGACAGAGAAGCATAAAAATTGTAAAAAAATGTTGTTTTGGTACGAGTACATGTACCGTCTATACATCCATATGCATTAAGTAAAACGCTGTTATTTTGACATTACAAACAGACACTTCAATTTTATTTATCTGTTTAGAAGACGTTATGCGTATTTTATACTAATGACTTACCCCCGCTTCGCTTGAGTTTGTCGCGTTCAGACAGACAGACATACGCGGCCAGGAACGATATTTTATAATAGGAAGTGATAGTGATTCGCTTGATTAGGTAATATTAGGAAATAATATCAAATGTCAATGGATAACGCCCTACGTTATATATCATACGATATATAAACGCAATATATAATATAAAATAGTAATTTCCTAACAAAATAGTAATTTCCTAACAAAATAGTAATTTTCCAACATTATAAAATAAAACTAGTGAAATTATACAGGCAATAACAACCTTCAGTTGTTAATATTGTAATTTTGTATATTTTTCTTTGCATTCAATCTAATCTTATAACTATCCTAGTATCCTATATTAGTATTATATAGTTTTAAAAAAGTTTTACCCACTTAATCATAGAGTTTGCTTATGGGAAGAAGCGGGCCATTCCCAACACAAGTATCCTCGGATTACTTACTGGGAAGACTCGAACATAAAATTGTAAAAATTATTAAGAAATAAAAACTGTTTTTATTTTATTTATTTATTTTTTTATAATATAAAAATGAATCGCTGAATGTGTTGCTAAGCGCAAATCTCGAGAGCAGCTGAACCGATTACGCTAATTCTTTTTTTAGAATATTCCTTGAAGTACGAGGATGGTTCTTACGGAGAGAAAATTTTAAAAAATTGTCTGAAAAGGTCTAAAAACAACACTTTTCTATACTGCCATACAAAAGATTCGTAATAAAACTTAAAAGTCAATTTGTACTTAAATACCATACCATAAAGTTTAAGTGTTAGTGGAGAGGTTCCGGGAAGGCAAAACAATTGAGTGACGTTAGTATCGTATAAATATTAATGTCAATATTTGTCAATATTATTAACAAAAAAAACTTTTTAACAAAAAATAAAAACCGACTTCAAACAAAAGCACTAAAAAGTAAAAAATAACTGATTGGTAGTTTTCATTTACTATACATACATAATCAAATATTTTCGAAGTCGGTGTGCTTTGTTTTGCATGGGCTGGCACCGATTTCGAAAATATTTGATTAGGTATGTATTTTATAGGTAGGCTTTAATTACTTAGCCAAAGCACACCGACTTCGAAAATATTTGATTACGTATGTATAGTAAATGAAAACTACCAATCAGTTATTTTTTACTTTTTAGTGCTTTTGTTTGAAGTCGGTTTTTATTTTTTTGTTAAAAAGTTTTTATTTTTCCCTTTTTAGTGTAGACAGTAGTAGCAAAGTAAGAATTCTAACGTGTTAGGCTTGTCAAATCAAACAAAATAAGCCCAAACTCAAATTATCTACTATTAGCCGTTGAAGAGTTCCACCTATCCACCTTCTGGCCATCAGACCATCAGATCAGGTCAACAAAACCAAACCACTGTACTATCAACGGAAATAGAAACACTTGCAAAGTTTCAAGTCAATATGACAATTAGAAGTAGGGTAAATTCATCATTAGCTATTTTTCCACCCTTAGGGGTGGTATTTTTTTTGAAATTTAAATGGGACCAATCTGGAAGTATACACTTTCAAACAACACAAAAATTGTCCAAATCGGTTAATAATTGACGGAGTTCTGAGGTAACAAACATAAAAAAAAACAGTCAAATTGAGAACCTCCTCCTCCTGAGGTTTTTCTGCCTAGCCAAAAATTAAATATTTAGACCTTTTTGTAGAACTAATAAATTTTTATTTATTTAATCATTTATTTCAGGCAATATTTACAAAAAGATCTTAAATATGTAAACAGAGGCCCATAGCATAATATATACCTTAAAACTAGCATATAGGTATATTTTAATTATAACTATTTAACACGTAGTGCAGACGTGTGAGCTGTGTGAGCGAGCAAACGACCTCGGAACTTCCGAAACACGACGCCCTGCGGCCAGAGGTCTTCCTTCATGAAGGTTGGCAGATGATGAGTCGGCACTCTCACCAAAAACGAATTGAAACTCATTTTGTGGCGAGATACCAGCCGTTCAACGTTCAAAAAATAAAGGTCGACGTATTTTTCATATCTAGTTTTCACATTTAAATAACGCTTCAAAAAGCATACGCAAGAAAAGCTGTAATTTTTTCAGAATTACTAGACAATATAATTTATAACCTTTAGCGCTCTGGAATAATGTATCTATCTATTAGTGGAAGAATAATCGGCTTTATAGTTCAGAGTTCATCGATTACAAACAAATAAGTAAATTTTTCTTCTACATAATATTAGTATAGACTAGTCACCCGCGACCTTGCCCATATTCGACCCAAGTTTTTTTCAATCGAATGGATCTTTGTGACATCACCAACCGCCACGACATTGATTTCTTTACAAACTTACCATGTACTTAGAAACTGATTTTTAATAGATAAGAGAGACTGATTGTAACAAATGGTGCCCTAAAGGGGCGTTTCTGGGATATTACGATATTTATATATACTTTATTGGTCCATACATACATACATCAGAGTCAACATGCACCACTGTTTTGAATAAAAAATATTTCTAACAAATATGTTTATATTTTTATCGGAATAAAAAACTACAGCTACAAAAATACCCAAATTGGTGGTTAAAATACGCCATTTTTTTAATTCGCGTTATTAAGCCACTTGTATGTATGTATGTACATATGTATGTATGTATTTATTCATCCCCTTTTAACTTCCCACTGCTGGGCTAGGGCCTCCCTTCAATACGAGGGGTATCAACTATCAGGCGACTTAGTAATTACAATTTACGAGGAACCATACGGACATATTATGTATATACAAACACATACATACAGGTCAAACACATAACCATCTTTGAGCTACGTCGCAATCGGATAAAAAATATTTAAAATGGCGGCGTAAAATTATATTGTGATATAGCTATGTTGAAATCACAGACAAACACTCAGTTTTATTTTTAGTAATTAGTTAAATAGAAGCTTATCAGGGCCTTCAGTATTATTATCGGTTTGGACTAGTTCACGTTTTGTATATATAAATACGTACTAAAAATCTTTCCTCTATATGTTTTTAAACCTTGATCAATAATGAAACTGATTTTGGCAATAGGGTGAGTTAGACTTTTGGTTGAATTAATTATACTATAAAAATGTGAAACATAAAAAAATATTAATAGTAATAAAAATAAAATAATTATTTTTGAATTAAAATATTATAATTTAAATAAAATGTTAACACTTATGTAGTTTAGTTAAAAAGTTAAAAAAATGTTAATTCTTGGTACTGCCAATTAAAATACGTGCGACCTCCTTGGAATTTTCTAGATCTTGAAAAAATAGCGAAAGTTTCAACCCAATTCGAAAATTTTGAAAGTTAGAAAAATAAAAAAAAACAAGAACTTTCACTTAACTCCACAACTTTAACTTAATCATTATTCTTCACATGATTAAATTTATCATTTCATTTAATATTGAATATACGTCTCCATTACACGCTCGCTACCGTTGCACTGCTTTGATACCGGCCGTCTCCAAAAAAAAAAGAAATTAACTCATACATAAATATTAATTTTAAAGGAAACAACATATTTATGTGTAATAAAAAATTATCTAAACACTTGAGGAAAAACTTCGTGATAAAATGTGTTGTGCTTTTCATAAAATCTATACTATAGTTTGTTCGTTTTTTTGTTTGTCCTTCTTTCACGTTAATACAAAACAACGTGATTTTTTGTGTGAAGATAGTTGGAGGGCTGGAGAGTGATATAGGCTACTTTTTAACGCGGGAGATTATCTCATTCCCACGGGAAAATACATTATAATACAACCCAATAAAACTTGAAACTTGGTATTAATGCTCTTCAATACAATTTCAATACAATAAATACGTATTTTAGCACTTCGAAATTCATTCCATAAAGGAGTAAAATAGGGGATGAAAGTTTGTATCAAACGTACCTTTTTAGAGTTTTTTTTCAGTTTTAGCGCGAGCGAAGCCGCGGGTTCTACTAGTTAATAATAATTTCCAATTTTATCGGAGTTTTATAGAATTTTTTTAAGGAAAAATCTTAAAATTATTCATAGAGACGTTTTGACAATTATAAGTAATGGGTTTAAAAACAAACAAAGATCACAGTTTTATGTTTGTAAACCCATTGGCGGTTAACTTGAATGACACTTTCATAGATTTACGCGAATATTTGTCGTTTTAAATAAAACTATTTTTTCGGGTTTTTTCGTTTTGATTTTTCGTTCCCGACGTTTGGATGGACAAAGGAACATGCAGTCGGAGATATATTGTATACACGTAGCGAGACTTATATCATATAAAATATGTATAACAATATGTATTTATTTTTGATGTTGGAATGTGTTTGTAGTATCTAAAAGAAGTATTGTCAATCAGAAAGTTCATCGGGATCATTGCTTATTTGTAGATAAAAGCTATAATCGATTTTTGCTTATCAGTAATTTAAGTGAGCCAATAAATCAATAAATCGATTTAGGATTTAAGGTCTAAAGTCATTATAGTTCCAGATTACAAAATATGTCTCTTACATTTTGAATACAAAATTTCGATTAGATTCAAAGTTAAATTAATAGCAATATTATTAGCATTTAATGTTTTATTTTTTGATTTTATTTAAATCTATCTTAATACTACTAGCCCTAAGCCCTAAAATTATTATTAACTAGCTTGCTTCCCAATACAAACTTTGATCCCCATTTTCACCCCCTTAAGGGATGATTTCTGGGATAAAAAGTATCTTATGTCCTTCCCAGGGTCTCAAACTATCTTCTTACCAAATTTCATCTAAATCGGTTTAGTAGATTCAGAGATTACTCCCTACAACGTCACAACCCACAAACTTACAAACTCACAAACTTTACCTCTTTATAATATTAGTATAGAAAACGAATATTTTATTGTTACATATGCAGTTTCCTGTTATCAAGCTGTTACGCAGACAGACGATTTCCAGATGACTTTCTATTTGGTACTGCTACAGCGGCCTACCAAATAGAAGGGGGATGGAATGCGGATGGTACGTGGAACAATTTGGGACATTTTACTCATATTAAGTCAATGAACAAAACGATTTTATGAATAAAATATTTTTAATATAGACAGACTTTATTTAAGTAATACATAAACGAAAGTTACAATAAGTGCACTTAAAGCCTAGCATTGAGTATTGTAATGCTTTACATGTTTTTAAAGTTTTTATTTAATAATCGGTATTATTTCAGTATCAAACTCTTTTACATGTTTTTATAAACACTTTTTTGCTTCTCTTATTAGTTTTCACTTTGTCTCGAATTCAAATTCCTTTACAAAATATGTAAATAAATAATGTTATAAAGATCGTATGCAAAATTTTTTAAGTTCTTCTCGCAGTTACGACGATTGTCTGATTATGACTTTCTACAATGCAATCATCAACTTTTTATCTTCATGTACTATTGCTATTTTAACAGCGTTAAAAATATGTTCAATTTTGACAGAAATGGCTTAAACTAGCGAGAACGTCACAAATATAAATTTAGCAAAATACAATGTACTTAATAGGAATAATCAATTTAGATAAACTTTTATTGTGTTCTTTTATATTATTTATTTCAGGTAAAGGTGAAAATATTTGGGATCATTTGGCTCACACTAAGCCCTATGCGGTCAAAGATATGAGTAACGGAGATATAGCAACTAATACATATAATAACTACCAGCGAGATGTTGAGATGATGAGAGAACTTGGTTTAGACGCATACCGATTTTCCATATCCTGGTCTAGAATCCTGCCTAATGGATTAGCCAATCATGTTAACAAAGCTGGAATCAATTTTTACAACAATTATATAAACGAAATGCTAAAATATAACATTACACCAATAGCAACAATATATCATTGGGACTTACCACAAAAGCTCCAAGACCTAGGTGGATTTATAAACCCATTATTCTCTGAATGGTTTGAAGATTACGCTCGTGTCGTATACGAAAATTTCGGAGATAGAGTGAAGCACTGGATTACATTCAATGAACCTAGAGAAATATGTTACCTAGGTTACGGATCTACTAGTAAAGCCCCTATGTTAAACGTAACGGACGTTGGGACCTATTATTGTGCCAAAAATCTAGTGCTTGCTCATGCGAGGGCATACTATGCATATGTAAATGACTTTAAGAATAGTCAGGGTGGTATTTGTGGCATTACAATTAATGTTAATTGGTTTGGACCTTTGACTGATTCTGAAGAAGACAAACATGCAGCTGAAATATATAGGCAAGCTGAAGTAAGCTTACGATCAATTATTTTTATCGCTTTTACTTAAGCTCTAAGAACCATTAATATTTATTTATATTTATTTACAGTGGGGTCTATATGCTGAACCTATTTTCTCAGAACATGGAGGTTTTCCTAAGGAATTTTCAGAGATAGTAGCACAGAAAAGTCTTGAACAAGGTTACCCAAGGTCTCGCTTGCCAGAATTTACTGATGAAGAAAGAAAATTTGTGCGAGGAGCTTACGACTTTTTCGGTGTTAATCATTACACAAGCAAACTCATATCGGCTAAATCTTATAAGATTGATCATCCTATTCCATCCCTGTACTCTGATTCTGATGTGGGGTATTTTGTTCCTCTTGAATGGCCAAGATCTGCCTCCAAGTGGCTAGCAGTAAGTTTAAATAATAATATTTGATCATACTTATAAATTAACGAATCTACCTACTTGTATAGTCATTGAATACATAAAATAGGAGTGTCGCTACTAAAGGTCAAGCAGAGTTCTAATTTGGCAGTGTATTACAGTTTGGTGTCCTAATTAATATTACGGCACCCACCGCATGCGCAGCCATATTGGAAAAATAGTATCAAAACTAGTTTTTGAGAATATCTTCTCTCTAGCGTCGTCTCGGTAAAAAAATTGATATTTACCGAAATTCTGAAAAAAAATGGATTCTGCGCGAATTATAAATATTTACTGAGTTTATCTTTACTTTGCTATATAACTCTTTAACTATTTATCTGGTCTAAAAATACTTTAAGCACAACTTGCAGGAAATTTTATGCTTAATGATTTTAGTAATGAACATTTATAACGTAGATGACGCTGGAGAATAATATTCTCGAAAAACTGGTTTCTGGTAGGTACCATTTTTTCAATATGGCGGCGCGTATATATTAATTAGGACACCAAACTGTAAACTCATTGTCAAATTAGAACTCTCCTGGACCCATTGTAAGTCAGAACCTACGCAGTGACTAGACTAGAAATTATGAGTTATGTTTTGAATAAATCGTATTTACAAATATTGAAATTTTGTTAATCAACTAGCATAACCCGCAGCTTTGCCCGCGTTCAATCTACAAAAAAAACTTTTTTGTCCTATTTGTCTTGTTACGTCCCTATGTATTTATAAAATATTAAATTATTTGGATATTTTTCATATCGCAATTAAAAAATGGGGGGTGGGGGTAGGAGGGTGAAAAATACTTTACGACCTAATCTCATACCTACCAAATATACAAAAAAAAAATCATTAAAATCGGTCGAGCCGTTTCAAAGGAGTGCGACCACAAACACCGTAGAATGAGATTTTTATATATTAGATAAGAGCTTTAAGACCTATTATACTATCATAACAATAATACGGTTTTTGTTCTACAAAGTTTAGTAGATAATTTTAAAATCTATTTTTTTTAGCAAGCCTCAAATAGTCTCTACAATGCTTTAACATTCCTCATGAAGAGATACAATAGCCCTATATTCTACATCACGGAAAGTGGCTGGTCTAACCCACCAGATGCTGGATTGTTGGATGATGACAGAATTGGATACTATAGGGCAGCTTTGAACAGTGTTTTGGATGCTATCGAAGCTGGTGTCAAAATCAAAGGTTATATGGCATGGAGTTTGATGGACAATTTTGAATGGGTGGAGGGATACACGTAAGTACCCACTGAATTATAAAAATATAAGAAAAAATCTTCGTTTTAATATTAAATTAGTATAACGTTTTTATTCGAAAAATCCACTTGAATTAATGAATCGTATGACTTCGTCACAATTATTATAGCAGAAATTTGTATAATTATCATTCCTTAGACAACATATGATTAGCTATTGAGTGTTATTATTTATGGCTTGATGAAGAGGAATTTGTTTTTCATCTTCGCTTAACAAGATAGTCTCACTGTCGTTTGCAAACTGTTATTTAACTTTGAATTTGGATTTTAACTTAATAAATATGGAATGTGACGTAGCTGCTTTACAATCGTAAATCGTATTATTTTATTAGAATTAAGGCATTCCTAATAAATATTGCTACCTGGTGATAACATGAACTAGGTAGTCTAGTGACTAATATTTCATACTTTACTTTAGACGGCACGTTTGGCTCAGTTTGTAGCGCCAGGTACTTGCTGTGCCAACGGGTTCGAGTCCCGCTGGGGGCATTACTTTGTGTGATGAGCACGAATGTTTGTACTCCAGATATGGGTGTTTATATTTATAATATGTATGTATTTAAAGTTATATATGTGTTGTGTATCAACTATCTGGTATCCTTAACACAAGCCTCTTAGCTTACCATGGAACTAGATAGTGATGTGTGTTAATGTCCGTACATAAAAAAAATAATGTCCTAACATACATATCAGAGTAATGCACCGGATTTGGCTTAAGAGAGATAGAAGATATCATCATCCATATTTAACATTTTATGCAAAAAATAATATGATATCTTTATTGGCTTGCAAGATATTTATTATATATACTAAAAATGAAATTAGTAGCAACGTTACCTCCCAGAGTATTATTACTCGGACCATGTTTGAATTCAAACATGAAAACTAATTTTCTAGGAATAGCAAATAAATTTTAATACTCCCACGGTTCATCATCATGTTGTATTCGATATATGAAAATATTTCATTTATAGAAAAGATATTTCTTGCTCTGCCAAATGCAAAAGATTTTTGCTTTCAATTTAGTTATTATCATTATATTTCTATTACAGAGAACGATTTGGCTTATATCACGTGGACTTTAATAGCCCCGAAAGAACACGAACGCCTAAAAAATCAGCGTTTATTTACAAGGAAATTATTAAAAAACGTATGATAGACCAAAACTATGAACCTGCCAGCCTTAAAATGACGATTGATGATGGACATTAGCTAGAATTAATTAAGTTTTACTGTTATTGTATTAATTAATTATAATTTATTGTAAATAAATTGTATTAATTTAATATAATTTTTTTCATTTATTCAATTTCATTAAATTTCCCCCTATGACCTATCCCATCTTATGATAAAATTATATGACAAAATTAATACAATTTACAAGTTTAATAAAATTTTTCACAAGGTATTTATTTATTTAAAATGTACTTTTTCACTTATGATAATCAATTATACCATTTTTTCTTAAGAAAAATCTTGTATGTATATACCTAAGATTAGTTTTCATCTGCGGCTTCGGTTGTGCGTAAGTGTAGTGGGAATAAAAGAAAGCCTCTGTCGATCCCCACGATGCAATTTCTGTCCTTGACTACAACTACATCGTAATCTGTTCAGCAATTAAGTCATTAAAAGGTTTTTCAAACAGACAGCTAGAGCTTCCATAGCTTATAATGATTAATTGAGCAATTCTTGTATATATGTATGTTCTTGGATATACGTATGTATATAGGTACATTTATTTCGTGTATCTCGGAAATGGCTCCAACGATTTGAACCACATTTTGTATTTTAGTAAGGTTTTGATTTTTAAATTAATATTATTTATTTTTTTTCTAAAAAAAAACTCAATTTCTATATCTTCCTCGAAAAACGCCAAGCGAAGCTCGGTCGCTCAGGTACCTACTTTATATAATAAGTTATTAAAATATTGCAATTGCCTTATTAGTTTAGTGGCTAGTTCTAGGTCCAAATCTCGGATCTGGCTAAGTATAATTTGTGATTTTTTGATAGTAAATTTTCAAACAAATCAAAATATACTTTATTCAAATAGACTTTTACAAGCTCTTTTGAATCGTCAATTTTACATTTTAAATTTAAATTAAATGTCAGTATAGTCAGTCCGTGAGGAATCTACCACCGGCTCGGAATGCAGTTCGGCTGAGAAGAACCTGCGAGAAACTCAACAGTTGCTTTTTTAAAATAATATTTGTTTACAATATTGTAATATTATAATTATCTACTTTCCCTACGTGAGACCCAATGATACATAAGTTCCACACATTGACACCTACAAGGTGCAAGTTTAAAATCGACCATGGAATTTAATTATGTATGAGTAAGGAATACCCCTTGCTAAATAAACGATCTATTTACTTTTTGAAGGCGAAAACTAGGCGTTGCCAGTTTGTCCATATTTCTTGTATTTATTCCGTGTCAAAACACAGGCAGTGGTAGCCCAGTGGTAACGCACCTCGCTTGGGAAACCGAGTGAAGCGGGTTCAAATCCTGGGTCTCGCACCTCTGATATTTTCATGTGTGAATCATTTCCAACATGATTACCACTTGTGTTAACGGTGAAGGAAAACATCGTGAGGAAACCTGCATGTCTGAGAGAACCTAGCAAGTTTTCAAAAGACATGCTCAATCCGTACTTGACTAGCGTGGTGGACTATGGCACCAGCAGTGGCACGTTAAAAAGGGCTGAATGCATTTCGTATCTGTCACTGTGTCTTAAATAGCAATTAATGTTTTGTCAGACACACAATATTACATACAATAAAATAAAAAAAATAAAAAACTATAAATAAGTACCTTTAAGTCTAGGTTATATAAATATATTCTTTGTAACTAATTTTCCCAGTTCTACTGATCAACTGTCATAATTTCTGATATGTTCTGATATCTTTATATATGTTTCTCATGTAAAAGACTTGTTCGTAATAAGAAATAAAGTTCTTTAAACCGAAAATACTAAAGCCAATAAATAATTGGTAGCGAAGCGAATAACGCACATAAACTATAAATTGATGTTAAAACATTTTATTAACAACAATAGAACAATAATAAATAAAGTCAATATAATAATTAAATATACAAATATTCTTAAGCTTAATGTCCTTCATCAATCCACATTTCAAGGGTAGTGGGTTCATAGTTCGGGTCGATCACACGGCTTTTGATAATTTCCTTGTAAACAAATGCTGATTTTCTTGGTGTACGTGTCTTTTCGGGGCTCTCGAAATCCACTTGATATAAGCCGAAACGTTCCCTGAAAAAAAGGTAAATATTAATTATTAATAGTAGACTCTTATTGTATTTTAAATAAAAGTAACCTATCTACACTAAATATAAAAAGGTAAACTTTGTAAGTTTGTACGTAAGGGGTAATCTCTGAAACTACTAATACTACTGATACTGATCCAATGCTAAAAGTTCTTTCACTAATTGAAGCTAGATGAGGCCTTGGAAAAGGACATATGACTACTTTTTGTGGTGAAAATAAAACTTTAAGGGGGTAGAGGTTGAAATTTTATATGAGGAACCAACTACCTGAATATAGTACACTCACTATTTTTTTATCTATATAAAACGTAATTAGGATATACCCGAGAGAAACGTGGGTAAGTCAAAAGCCAACCTTTAATATAACTGCAAAAATGTATTTATTACATACGTTTTACCGCAAAAATTATAGTCTGACTTACATTTACCTACCTAATACTCGTATATTCGACTCGACGATACGTTTGCCTCAGTTTTTAGTGACCCTACTTGCTATGCCAGCGGTCGCGGGTTCGAGTCTCGTTAGGTGCTTACATTTGTGTGATGAGCACGAATGTTTTTACTCCAGTCATGGGTGTTTATCTTTATAATATGTATGTATTTAAATTTATATAATTTCTGTAGTGTATTAACTATCTCATCGTGGCCAGATCTCAAAATAGCATAACAATAACGATTTCTGCCACTATGTATACAATGTTCAGGGAGCAAAATCAGAAGAATGTTTTTAAAACAAAATAAACTAAATGGTCGTATAATATCTTCTCAGTCGAAAAACTTCCTTGACTTAGACCTAGGATCTAGACTCCAGTAAAAGTGTCTACTGTATATAGTTGATATATATAGTTGACTCCTGTATATTTTACCATTCACCTTCTGTAGATCGGTCAAGTGGGCCACCATTTAATATTTTTTAGAATTACAATTATTTTTCTCATATATATTTACAATTATTTTACTTACGTGTATCCCTGCATCCATTCAAAGTTGTCCATTAAACTCCATGCCATATAACCTTTGAGATTGACGCCAGCTTCGATAGTATCCAAAACACTGTTCCAAGCTGCTCTATAATATTCAATTCTGTCATCATCCAACAATCCAGCATCCGGTGGGCTAGACCAGCCATTTTCCGTGATGTAGAATATAGGGTTATTGTATCTCTTCATCAAGAAAGTTAAAGTGTTGTAAATACTGTTCGGTGCTTGCTGAAAAAAATTCAAATTTTATTTATTTATTTTAAAATTGCTATGTACCTTTCCTTGATGAAAAGGAATCAGATATGTACTATTATATAAAAAAAGTAAAAATGTTAGGTACTGAAAATGTCTCATATTGAACAAAAATATAAGTCAGACCAAAGTTTGGCGTCTCACAAGTATTTTAATTTTAAGTATTGTATTTTTTTGTCTCATAAATATATTTTCTTATCAGGCACACAGTCTATTTTCTGAATATGTAAAGAAAACATCAAATCGTATGACATATTTTTTTTGTTATTCTGCGGACGAAAATTAGGCCTTTTCGATATCCTTCCTTCCCCTGTCTAAGGGATCAAGGATCAAATCAAAATATACTTTATGCATATAGACTTCTACAAACTTCTACAACTTTTGAATCGTTACTTTTTACACTTTTAAACTTTAAATGTCAGTCCGTGAGGAATTTCCCACCGGCTCGGAAGACAGTTGTGCTGAGAAGAGCAAGTGAGAAACTCAAAAATTATTTTTTTATAAATAATGTTTGTTTACAATATTTCATAAATAACACAATATGTGTGTGCAGTATGCATTGAGGTATGAGTGTGTCTGAATTTGAACTTGAACTCCCGAATTGTTTAAACAAAACAATTTAAATATTGTGACGCCATTTGCAAGATCGAAGGATCAATCAATCGAAGAATCAGGAGGAAGAAATATCTAAACTTACCATAAAATGACTACTTTTATAAATGTTTAATTATATACTAGTATTGTAATATTTTCAATTACGGTGTTGGAATACTACGTTACACAACAACTATTTTACAAAGTACTATTATTCTAAAGCTGGATAGTTTGTTTACTTTTTCAAATGTGAACAATCTCTGAAACCATGTATTAGCCTGATTTTTTTTATTTTGTACATCCATAAAACAGTTTTTGAGGAATGTCCTAGGCATTATAATCTATACCATTAAAAGCAAAACAATTATTGTACATAAAATATACGTAAATGTACCATGCTAGCTGAGCCACAGAAAAAAAAAACTTACTGTTAGCCATTTGGAAGCAGCTTGTGGCCATTCTGGAGGAACATATTTTCCAACATCAACATCAGCGTACAGGGAAGGAATAGGATATTCTTCCTTGTAGGAAGTAGCCGATATGAGATAGCTAGTGTAATGATTTACACCGAAAAAGTCATAAGCTCCACGCACAAATTTCCTTTCTTCATCAGTAAATTCTGGCATGCGAGACCTTGGGTAGCCTTGTTCAAAACTCTTTTGTGCTACTATTTCTGAAAATTCTTTAGGGAAACCTCCCTGTTCTGAGAAAATAGGTTCAGCATACAGACCCCACTGTAATTAAATAAAAATAACATATTAATAATTTGTAAAGTTAATAGTTTTACAAAATTAAGCAATAAAGAAATTTTAAGATTATAAGAGGAATTAATCTTACCTCAGCTTGCCTAAATATTTCAGCAGCTTGCTCGTCTTCTTCAGAATCAGTCAAGGCTCCAAACCAATTAACACTAATTGTAATACCACAAACACCACCTTGACTTGTCTTGAAGTCATTTACATACGCGTGGTATGCCCTCGCATGAGCCAGTACTAGACTTTTGGCACAATAATAGGTCCCAATATCTGTTATATTTAAAATGGGAGCTTTATCAATCCATCCATAACCTTGGTAACATATTTCTCTAGGTTCATTAAATGT